TTTTCATCGGGTTGATGTCAATAACACTGGTCAACACACTTGTTCTGGCACAAGGTATTCCACCGGTTTCAATGTAATTTTGGGGTGCTGACTCCAAATCTGGCATCAGTTTTTGTCTATCACATCAGGTTTTTGAGATATCAAATATTGCATTTTCAATAAAAACTGCAGAAGAAAAATATTAAATAAATGTGGATATCTACATAAAATGATATTATAAACACACTATCCTAAAAATACAGCACCATATTTTAACACTAAAGCAGTCACTGACTCACAACAACTTGCAATCACAAGTGACAGAGTTAATTTCGGGTAAAATCAATGAAAATGGGGTATGCCGATAGCATAAAAATGAGATGTGATAAAGCAAATCTGATATCAGATTTGGAATCAGCACCCTGAAATGAGTCTAAAACAGCTGCAAATGTCCAGGCCAAAAAAAAAATGTGTTTTTTTTGTTGACCAGTGTAATCGGTGTCTCAATACGGAAGCGTAATTCGTGCCAACTGCACCTCGCAACGCTTCCACGATCCACAAAACGTGGGTAGTGGACATACACGTGACGATGTTCTCGGCCAATTAATGAGTGTTCACACACGTGGGAGGAAACCGGAGCACCCAGATAAGTACAAGTTCCAATTTCAAGTTTATTTGGTTGAGAACTCACGAGTCCAGGATGAGTCTCATTTACAAGAGTCACCTGGGCGCAAGCCGGTGAAAGTTATGTTCAGGAGCTATGTGCCAATGATGGAGAGGTCTGCTCACCAGTAGAGGGCTTCAGGAGGGATTCATAAGTTTTTCGGTAAAGTCACGTAGGTAAAAAATACAATTAAAAGTTAATAAAAGTAATAATGGAAATATGGAAATAAAATGGAAATAAAATATTATTATTTTATTTTATTTCCATTATTACTTTTATTAACTTTTAATTTTATTTTTTACCTACGTGACTTTACCGAAAAAACATAAGAGTATGAATCCTTGCAGTCACGAAAGCTTCAAATCTAGAATCTTCAGGAGGGAGTTCGTGATATTTTGCCATTCCTCCTCCGCTGACAAGAGCATGGACCACAGTGGTTTACTATTTCGTACACAGGGTAGAAGGTGGGTTTCTCGCGGGGCCACTTGCTTGTGCGTTTTAGTGTCACCTTAAACACAAGACATACTCTTCTTGGTTCTTTGGGTAAAGTCACGTAGAAGGGAAATAATAAAATAATAAAAATAAAACATAATAAAATAATTCTCACGACGTTTCGGCCACAACGCAAGCAGCCGTCCTCAGGTGAAGAACAGGTCTGTCGGGGAGACAGCGTCTGAATGAAATGTATTCGTCGTGAGAATTATTTTATTACGTTTTATTTTTATTATTTTATTATTTCCCTTCTACGTGACTTTACCCAAAGAACCAAGAAGATGAATCCCTGCAGTCACGAAAGCTTTAAATCGACAAGAAATACGACCGTCTAGGGAGAATTGACGTCGTTGATTCGAAACCAGATATGAAGGAGAGAAACAATCGCCGTGACTAGTCCAAATTGAGTAATTTGCCGTTTCTTTCACGGATTTGGAGCATTTGGCACCAGCGCACGATGACCTAACTCTTGCAAATGACGTTACGGGGATCTTTTGACGTCCGCCGTCGAGTGAAATCGGACGGCGCGTGGTCGTGTCATCGTTGATGCACACCGCAATAATAACCAGGGGGCGGCCACTGGGTTTAAACCGCGAACCTCTGCAAATCAGCGGTCAACGCTGGGCCGCGTCACTGCCATTAAAAAAATACCCACGTGAGGGTGGGGGGGGTGCAACTATCCTACACAGATGGAACAGATGGAGATTTAGTCCACTTCGCTGTACTGCCACCTCCTGGCAAGGCAGGGTATGCTGCACCTTGTCCCACACTTGGAATGGTATTTCGCAGCATTTGTGCGACCCACCGACCCACACATGCAGTGCTGGATTACAAAGCGTGCACCACCACCACGGCTTATGATTATAATTATTATTACGAGGACTACACTTGTTTACTTCAGGAAAGCCTCTCAAGAGTCTCGAGACGATCTCAGAAGGGTCCCGTTGAGTGGTCGCAGTAGGAGGGCGATGTTGCTGCTGTGTATAATCCCAATTGAGTAGCGCGCAGGTAAATTTTCAGCACTGCCATGTTTGACAAATCCCATTTGTACTGTGGATCATTTGTTTAGCTATGGGAGCAAGAACGTGCAGGAAACGCCCTGCAGAACAGGGGGAGAGCATACAAACTGTGCGCAGAGAAGGCACCCGATTCGGGAATCGAACCCAGGGACTTTCTTTCTGTGTGGCACGAGTGTTAACACGACAACCTGCCACCCACTCAGGACTTAAGCCCAAAGCAGCCCGCTGGTTTTTTTTCTTTCCTGTTTTCCAGAGAGGCCCATAAGGTGTCAATCCAACTTACAATTGACAAACGACAGCCTCTCCTACCCAGCCAAGTGTTTGAACATTCCACGTGACCAGGCATGTCTTTTTTCTGGGTGGAGAGGTGGGGGGGGGGTGCTTCAGTGCCCATGATCTTCCTAAAAAAGGGATTTGGGCCAGGGAACATTTTTGACGCCTATCCCCTTGGGAACTCTGGCATGTTCATCTTGATTTGGCATGTTAATTTAGATTTCACGGTTTGGGAATATGAATGACACCCATTGCACCCACTCGGCTCACCATACCCACGCCACTCTTCCATCGCACCCCACCTTGCACTCAAGCACTTGCACACCACAACACATCCAAGCTCACCACACCCACCCACTCACCCACACCACTGCACTCAGGCACTCACCCACTGCATGGAGTATATATATAAGAGGGCTTTGGCCACCCGCTGGCGACGACCGTGTGAGTGTTTGTGCGATGTCACTGGATCATTTTAAGTTCAATCTCCCCTCGTCGGAGAGGCATCGACTGAGATGCCGCCTCTCCCTCCACTGCAGAGACATGCAGTCCTCGGGAGATGTTTATTGTACATTCGTTACACATTGGCCAATGCAGGCCGATTCATCAACGTTTGGCACCGCCACAGAATGCCCTACACAACTCCTGCAAACGTTACCCAAGAGGGGTTCCTTTCTAACACAAACTCTCACGACGACAGCGTGGACTGAACATTCTCCGCAGAGTTCGGGACCAGAATTCACGCAGCCAAATGCCAGCGTTGTGACGTCGCTTCAAGCGGAGCCCTTTGAACCCCTTGACCTCAGCGGACGGTGCCAAGGGTGGTCGTCCAAACAAACCCGTCGGCAAACCTAACAGGGGCCGCGCGCGGCCTCCTAACAGCACGGCCGCCCCCGTGCCCACCTACCCGGGGGCCAGGGTTACCAGAAAGTCCCACAGCCATCTCGAACTTAATTTTCTTCTCCTTGTTTACCCAGGAGAGCCTCACCGAATGAATCTCATGACTTTGTCCGGAAGATGCCGTCACGTCTATTTCCACAGTATGGGGTGGAAGGCGGGGGCCGATTTTCACCACTGGATACATTCCGATCAAGTAATTTATGCACGGGGTAATTTTAGTTTTTTAGGTGAATAAATTGGGACCGTGACTGCAGGCACACGATGGCCTAAACTCTGACGGCACGGGGATCTTTAACGCCCACCGTGAATTAAGCGGACGGCATGTAGTCGTATTACAACTGCGGTTCAAATACCACACCGCCGCAGGAATAACCAGGGTGGGTCCCCCACTGTACACGCGAACCTCCGCGGTGAGCGGTGAATGAGCGACCGCTTGGGCCTTGTCGCCGGGTTTTGTCGTTTTTCGTTTTCCTCTCGCTCTCGATAAAGTGTCGCCGGTCCTGCTGGCTGCCGCAGCTGATGTGAAGCGATTCAAATGTGCCCTCGAAGATATAGAGCAGCGCGCCAAGAGAAATTGCGAGAATGAAAAATAAAACTGCAAAACTCCAAACTATAACTATACTGTCAAATTATTGCTTGCATGGTAAAAAAAAAAGCAAGATATAAACATTTCTTAAAAACTTCAAAAGATAAACCTGCAACCTGTACCATTCAGTTTCAGTAAAAAAAAACATATTTCAGACATTTCCAGATCATTCATGGTCCGATGATGACTTGGGGGAGCGGGGGGGTTTGAATTCCACAATTACAGAAACGTCTCGTGTCCAATAATTTAATTTAACTTGGAGGAACAAGTAGCAGTACGGCAGCCTTGAAACAAAGATTACAATATATGGGGCGGACATTATGAACAACCAGTTCTGAAAAGTGCCAAGTCATTTATGGCCTTCCAAATGCAAGAATAATTGACACATCAGGCAGCCAGTGTAGTAGTGTAACATCCAAACACGTCCATGACTACGAACGCGTAAAAAAAACCCTCCTCCATGAGTAACGATGCTTAATTCCAGGCCCAATGTTACGTAGCACTTTGCACGCCTTTATTTCTCGCGTGACCTCCACGGTGCAAAAGGCAACGTCCGTGCAAAACCACGAGTGCCGCTTTGCTCACCTGACAAGCGCGCTTGGCAAACTCCCGGCCAGAGGAAAATTGTCTCAAGCGCCGCGGCGCGCACTGCTTCTGCCACCCGATGCGACGGTCACGTTCCCAATTGCAATCGACGGTTGACGGAAACGGAACAAAAACTACATCGCGTTTCACGACACGATGAACATCAAATCCAAAGTCCGCGTACTCCTTCTACAGGAGGCGCACGCGCCAGGCTCGCTCGCGCAGGACACCCACTTCAGGACACCCACCTCGCGTAGGATACTCTCGCACGCAGGACGCTGGCCCACGCATGACGCACACGCAGGACGCATGCTCACGCTCGACACACGCTCGACGCAAGCTCACGGTAGACGCCCACGCCGCAGGACGCCCACGGGACAGCCCTCACCGAGGGCTCCACAGAGGGAAACCTCGCACACAGCCCTCGGCCTCAGGCCCCGGCCGAAGCGGTGGGGCCCGTGCGTCGACGCCGCACAAGCAAACCCAGGCACCCGTCAGCAGGGAGAGCACAGCAAAGCCTTTTATTATTAGTTTAGGGGGGTGTATTTTTTTTTTCCTCTTTTAATACAGACTTTATGCAATCATGTACAAGTAAAAAAAAAATGCACACAGTTAAGCTCACTTCAGTAAGAGCCACGTGGAACGGAGCTGGTTGGTCAACGTTCACCGGTGCGGTCGCGGTGAATTTGCCGTCGCGCCTTTGCCATGAGAGGAAGACTCCGCATCACATCCCCCCCCCCCTCCTCCCCCCCCAGCCGTCACTCACAAACCCTCCAGCGGCACGCGTCTCTTACGCGACAATGAAATAAAAAAAACACAACCGCACCTTCTAAATCCTTGTAAATACTATCCGCTGTTAAAACGTACACTCGTTTAACATCTCTCCCAATGCTACAATAAGGGTTGGGTTCCCCCAGCAAAGAACTCGTCTGGTCAGGCAAGGTGTCAAAGGGGGGGGGGGCAAAACATGAGGTTATGGAGGGCTTCATGTCCCCCACGTTTGCCGCTGGGACGATGACGCACAACAAATCCCTCATCATCACTGGCAGAGACGGGAATACAGTGTCCAAAACGCGAGCACGCACGCACACACACACGCGAGCTGGGGAAATAAAAACGCAGAGAAGTACAAAAACTCGACAACAACAAAATAATCAACGAAAGGGAAACGATTACACAGTTTAAATTAGAGAGAAAGAAAAACATCGTCAAAACACGGCGAGAAACGAGAGCCTTGTAGTGTCAAGCTGCCCGTAGGTCAACACGGACAGCAATTGGCATCATCACCACTCGTCAACCAGACCGGGGGGGGGGGGGGGGCGACAGCGTTCGACAACTCGTAAATGGCGCGCGGTCGCACAGTCGGCCACACAACATACGCGCAACCTGTAACAAACGCTCATGGGGGGGGGGGGGGGGGGGGGGCAGTACGCATAATTTGGTGTGTCAAAACTCACACGATTCACATTCCACAAGGGCGCGACAATTCAAACGCGCAGGACGTCTTTCACTTGATCATCGTTCGTCGTGGCGCGCCGCCACCCGTCGCGTTCGCTCGACGCGCGCAGGATGTGAACACAGTGACATCACACGGAGGGAGGCTCGACGCGTCATCGCAGATCGCCGGCTGTGGCCACGGCGGCAGCGCCTTCCCGATCACCACGGCGGTTAGGGCTCGTACGGAAACTCTTCCCAGCACAAAGACAGTCCCCCACCCCCCTGACAGCCTGAACGGACTGTTGGGGCAAGTGCTGTTAGCGAGCTCCTATGAAAGCCGGCACGGTACAACGAGTGGGAGTCCACACCACCACCACCACGCCCGCCTTTGTCTCTCCAGTGGCGATGATCTTACATACCGCAACAGGTAGTCATTTGAGGCCGAGTCGACCTAGGTGAGACCCAGGACCGGTTGAGATAATCGTCACTCGTGTTGGCCGTGAGCGGGAATTGAACTCGGGTCACTGGGTTCGTAGCGCAGCGCGCGAACCACTACACTATCGCTCCACCACTGCCGCTCTGTCTTTGCCCAACGCACGCACTCACACGCACGTACACATGCACGTACACACGCACGTACACACGCACGTCCGCTGCAGGGCCACCTCACACATGGCAACACGTCATGATCCGTTCCGACGTCGACACTCGAAAACCGTCAGAAGCAAACTGCAGATTCATATAAAACGCCAAGGACATCTGTGTTCATCCACATTAAGACTTTCGCAAGATGATCCAATGACCAGGCCTCATGGCAGACCACAAGGCATTCACACTGCACTTTTCAATGCACACACACACACACAACCTCCACTCACAGCTGTGCGAAGAGAACCTCCGATTCCTCCGCACCTTCAATTCCCCGCACCTCCGCTGAGCACGGCTGGCTACGTACGGCGCGAAAGAAGTTCAACATACATACATACAAAACGGCCTAAATTATACCCGTGAGGAGGTGAGACGTGACACAGGGTGGGGGGGGGGTGGGGGGAGAAGAGGGCAAAGGGGAGGGGGGACACACACAGGGTACGGTGGTGCCAGCACCGTGGACTCGGGTCCAAACACGCCCTCGCTCTGCACACATCGCTCCGCTACCTCGCCGGCACTATTCTGCCAGTCGGTTCTGGCTACACTGGAGACCACCTGAGCCCCAAACGCTGCGGCCATCAATCAGCACGAGCGCCCAACATGGCCAAAAGCACACACTCGGCAGCTCTCAGAAATACAAGGAGAAAAGAAAAAGACTCAAGACTCCATGCTTACAAATCCCGCATCGCTCACCTCGACCTATGGGACTATGCTCATCATAATTGCAAACCTATGTTATTATTACGCGTGGAACGCAGGCAGAATTCATTAACCCCACGGTGAACGGCAGGCTTCCCCCACTTCCATTCCGCGGGGGGGGGGGGGGGACAAGCAATTGCTTTGACGGTTGCCGTGGCGACACCTCGTACGCCCCTGCTGCCCCTACTGCCCCTACTGCCGGGTGGCGACGGTGGGACGGAGACGCCGACTACACCAGACAGAGCCGCACCTTGCGCACGCCAATCGGCCGCTCGTTCAACTCCTTCACGGCTGCCATGGCCTCACCGGTCGTTTCAAAGGAGACGAGAGCGCTTCCCGGCACCTGCATGTTCACCGATTCGGGGATCACGCGGTAGCCATAGAAGAAGTCCAGGATCTCGCTCTGGTTCACGACGCGCGGCAGGTTTTTGAGTCTCACGATGCCACGAGGCTGGGGGACCCCACCCATGCCAGGGCCACTGGGCCTATCTGGCGGCCCCGCATCCTGGCTCGCCTTGCAGAACGGGGCTCCCCCGTGACTGCCAGCAAAGCCTTCCGATAAGTTCACATTACTGCCGCTGTTGCCGCCGCCGCCGCCACCACCACCGCCGCCCCCACCGCCGCCTCCACCGCTACCACCCCCGCCGAGTGGCCCGCCAAAGTTTTTGCCAAATACACCCGCACTATCGCCGGGTGGGAAAAGAGGAGGTCTTGACATGAAGGGAGGGAGCGGAGGAGGAGGACCCCGGAAATTAGGGCCGCAGAATGGAGGGGGCCCAGTCATAGGGGGTCTGGGGCCCCCTGGGAAAAATCCTCTGTCTGGGAATCCCCCGGGTCCGACAGCGGCAGCTGCCCCGGGCTTTCTGTCGGGGCCCTGACCCTCCTGCTGCTTTTCCGGCCCTGTCGCCTTCCCCTCCGTGCCAGGGTTTGCCTTTAAGGCCAGCATCTCGGCATGGCTCACCACCCTGATGATGGCCTCCCGGCCCCCAATCAGGCTGCGGTTGAGAGTTGTGGCCTTGCCGGCTGCCTCCATGCTGCGGAACTGCAGCATGGCCTGCCCAATGGTCTCTCCGTTCTTGTCGCGCAGAATCTGAATGCCCTCATCCGACAGATCGTGCCCTTTGAAGAAACACATCAGGTCGTCTTTGGTGGCGCTGCAAGGGATATTGCTCAGGTGCAGGTAGTAGCACATGCTGGTCTCGCTAGGGACCGGCTCGGGCTTCTTGGGCTCTAGGCGTTCGCCACCGCCGCCACCGCCGCCGCCGCCACCACCGCCACCACCACCGCCCTTCTCTTTCATCTTCTCCCCGTGGAGCCTCTCAAGGAACCACTTCTGGATGGGCCGCACGGTCAGGAAATTGTTGCCCACGTAGGACTTGTCGCGACGCAAGATAGAGCGCATGTCGTAGTCCGATTTGCACTCCACGCACGCCTTCACCGTGCCGCCCTCAGGCACCAGGATGAGGCTCTCTTCCCGAATCTCCTGCCGGCCGAGGAACTTGAGCACCGTGAACTTGTCGGCGTTCAAGGGGAAGCCTCGGATCTGCACGCAGAGCTCGTGCTCATTGGGCGAGGGGGAGCGATCCCTGCACGGGGAGCGTGAGCGCCCCTTCTTGGGGGAGTGGGACGGCGACCGCGAGCACGGGCGCTTGAGCTCGCGGCCCATCGGCAGGTGCAGCAGCGGGGCCGGCGCTCCCGTCTGCGCCTCCTTCTGCGGCGGCTCGGGCCCGCCGAAGTTCTTGGCGGCGCACAGCCACTCGCGCTCGGTCGCCGGGTGCACCTCCACGGGCTTGTTCACCATGCGCTGCTGGTGCCGCTTCATGCCCTCGATTGCGTCGCGCGTGCGGTGGAACTTGACGAAGCCGTCTCCCGTGGAGCGGAACGAGTCCCCGTCGTGCCCAAGCACGACGCCGTCCACCGCCAGCCCCGCAAAGAAGTCGAGCACGTGCTGCCTGGTGACCCAGAAGGGCAGCCCCACGAGACGCACGTAAAGGTCGTCCGCATTTATCGGAGGCAAGGGGCTCAGCGTGCCCACCCCGTCGTTGCCGGACATTAATCTGCTGCCGCGGCCACCGTCTGACAAGCTCGACAAACTGGCGCCACCTCCTTGGCCACCTCTGGCCGAGAAAGGGAAGCCGGAGGACCCCTGCTCTCCACAGCCGTAGGCCGGGCCTGGGCCGGCGAAACGCGGATCGCCAAACAGCGCCCCCGCAGCGCCGGGAGGCATGGGCTGGCCGAGCAAAGAGCCAGAAACACCGGTGGAAGGAAGGCCCCTGACGGGCGGCGGCTCCAGGCCGGGCCTTAGGAGGGACGGTGCCGATCCAGGACCTCGCCCCGGGCCGGGGAATCCCCCGACGGGGCTCGGCAAGTTGTCCTCAAAGCGAGACACGCGGCCGCTTCCGCCGTGATTCGAAGCCGACCTGCCTCCAGAATGACCGGAGCTGCCCAGCCCACTGCTCGGACTGCCCATAGAAGAAGCGTGGAATCCCATACTAGGGCCTGTGTTCTGCACGGAGCCACCGAAGCCTGCACCGCCACCGCCACTAACAGCCGGGCCACCCATCGGAGGAAGCCTCTGTCCCATACCAGGGCCGCTGCTAAGAGAACTAGAGAAGCCCATGCCGGAGATGCCTTGACCCAAGCCCGGGCCGCTCGGGGTCGAGCTGGAATTGTAATTCCTGCTGGGTCCACCCTGACTCATCGAACTGCCACTGCCCAAAGAGGAACTTCCAAAACCCATGCTGGACCCACCAGTGGAAGGAGAGCCACCGTGGCCTAAACTAAGACCACTACTCGAAGGAGAGTTACCGAATCCCATGCTCGAACCTCGTAGACCCTTGTCACTGGTGTCTATGTTAAATCCACTATAACCCATATTTGAGCCACCTTGATTTAAGCCGGGCGGTCCACTCCGACTCATGCTGGGTAAGCCAGAACCCAAACCTGAGCCACCAGGACCAAAACTGGAACCACTACGGCTCATGCCGGGACCACCAGGACCCATGCCGGAACCACCAGGCCCCATGCCGGACCCACCAGAGCCCATGCCGGAACCACCAGAGCCCATATTGGAACCACCAGGACCCATATTGGACCCACCAGGACCCATATTGGAACCACCAGGGCCCATATTGGAACCACCAGGGCCCATATTGGAACCACCAGGACCCATATTGGAACCACCAGGACCCATATTGGACCCACCAGGGCCCATGCCGGACCCACCAGGACCCATATTGGAACCACCAGGACCCATATTGGAACCACCAGGACCCATATTGGACCCACCAGGACCCATATTGGAACCACCAGGGCCCATATTGGAACCACCAGGACCCATATTGGATCCACCTGGACCCATATTGGAACCACCAGGGCCCATATTGGAACCACTAAGACCCATATTGGATCCACCTGGACCCATATTGGAACCACCAGGACCCATGCTGGAACGACCAGGGCCCATATTTGAACCACCAGGGCCCATATTGGAACCACCAGGGCCCATATTGGAACCACCAGGACCCATATTTGATCCACCAGGACCCATATTGGAACCACCAGGACCCATATTGGAACCACCAGGGCCCATATTGGAACCACCAGGACCCATATTGGAACCACCAGGACCCATATTGGAACCACCAGGGCCCATATTGGACCCACCTGGACCCACATTGGAACCACCAGGACCCATATTGGAACCACCAGGGCCCATATTGGAACCACTAAGACCCATATTGGATCCACTAGGACCCATGCTGGAACGACCAGGGCCCATATTGGACCCACCTGGACCCATATTGGACCCACCTGGACCCATATTGGAACCACCAGGACCCATATTGGAACCGCCAGGGCCCATGCTGGAACCGCCGGGGCCCATACTAGAACCCATACCAGGTCCACCAGGACCCATACTCAGACCACCAGGGCCCATTCCAGAAAAACTACGATCCATACTAGACCCACTCCGCCCCATTCCAGAATCACTAAGACCCATGCCAGGTCGCATACCTGGACCCAAACCAGAAGAACCAAGGCTCAGACCAGGACCACCAGAACCCAAACTGGATCCCATGCTAGTACCACCAGAACCCATACCAGAACCCATACTGGAACCCATACCAGAACCCATACCAGAACCCATACCAGGACCACCAGGACCTGTACTGGAACCACCGAGGTTCATAGAGCCACTAGGACCTGTATTTGTACCACCAAAGTTCATATCAGAACCACCAGGACGCAAATTGGAACCACTGTGGCCCACCCCATGACCACCAGGACCCATACTAGAACCACCAAGGCCCATGCCATGACTACCAGAACCCATGCTGGAACCCATATTGGAACTCATACCAGGACCACCTGGGCCCATACTGGAACCCATAGATGGTCCACTCGGTCCTAAACCAGAACCACCAAGGCCCATGCCAGGACCCATACTGGAACCCAGACCAGGACCGCCAGGACCCATACCCGAATGACTGCGATTACTGCTGGAACTGCCAGAACCAAGATTCAGGTTGGGGTCATTTTGCCCAGAGCTGCTAAAGCCCATGGACGACCCGCTGAGGCCAGAGCTGCCGTAGCCCATGGAGCCACCGCCAGAGGCTCCTCCGCTGAAGCTAGAGCTCTTGCTGTAGCCACTACCGGATGAGCCGGAGGAACCACCAGCGCCGGAGTGGGAGAAACCCGAGGACCCGTAGAGTCCTCCCCCCGCGTAACCGGTGCTGCCTCCTGACATCCCAAAGCCTTTACTGGGCCCATCCCCGTAGCGCGAGCCCTGGCCGTCCGTACCCCCGGTGCCACTCATGGGCATGGCTCCCAGCGATAGCGGGCCACCACCCATGTTGAACCCGGAGCTGCCGCCCGAGCCACTAGCACCGTAACCGGAGCCCGAGGAGGACCCCGTGCCATATCCGGAACTTGATGCTGAACCTAAGCCGTAGCCGGAACCTGATGACCCAAAGCCGTAGCCGGAAGATGACGACGATGACCCCATGCCATAGCCAGAACCCGACGATGATGACCCCATGCCATAGCCGGAACCTGACGATGAACCCAAGCCGTAGCCGGTACCGCCGGTGCCACTTGACATCCCGGAGCCGCCCGTAGCCATGCCGGAGCCGTTCACTTTGCGGCTAATGCCGTCGCCCCCCAGGGGGGCCATGGGGGGCATGGGAGGGGGGCCGCTGGACATGGGGGGTGGGGGCCTGTTCGACATGGGGGGAGGGAGAGAGGGCATGAAGGGGGCGGGGGGAAACGGGGGCCCAGGGGGTAGCGGAGGGGGGGGAACATTGAAACCTGACGGGGCCGAGAAAGGCGACTGGTTAGGGGGCGGCATGTTGGCACCCATAACACCCCCTGGCATGCTGGGGTTCACTGCTTTGTCCGTCATTGGGGGAGGGGGGCCCCCTCCGACCCCAACCCCCGGGGGGGGCATGGCAGAGCCCATAACGGACTGCGGAGGCGTCATCGTGCCGACGCGGGGCATCCCTCCTCCCACGCCCCCCCCGCCCCCCCCGACCCCCCCACCGCCGCCGCCGCCGCCACCGCCACCACCGCCGCCACCACCACCGACGGGCCGTCCGCCGCCGGGACCTGGGTCACTACCCCCCACCGAGCTGCCCACTTCGTATCGGCGCCGACTCTGCTCGATCACATTCTGCATCTCGCTCTTGCTGCTGAGCAGCAGCGAGATCTTGGAGGTCTTGATGGAGCCGCCGTTGCGCATCATGCCGAGGCGCGCGTCCTCGTCCGTGGCGAACATGATGAAGGCCTCGCCCTGCTCGCCGCCCACGATGTGCACACCGCCGTCCGGGATGCTGAGCCCCGAGAAGAACTGGCGGATGTCCATCGTGCCGGCCACCATGGGCAAGCCCTGAAGGCGAATCACCACCGCCATGGCGCTCTGTCTCTCGCGCGCCCGCCCGGCCTGCCAGTCGACTCGCACACCTGCAGCGGCAAGAACGACACACGCACGCACCACGCACGTAAGCGGCGGTGGAGGAAGCGCTTGGTGGTGGGGGGTGGAGGGGGTGAGAGACGGGCGAGGCCTGCCGGCGTCGCTCCCACCACGCGCGGTGATACGGGAACGATCGCAACCTTTATCAGAATATGATTCACCCTGGAGAAATCCGATGAGCTACGAAGCACCTTTTTTCACACCGACACTGAAACGCGCGGCACAACATACGAGTCGGCTGTGGTCAGCGTTGACCGTCGCCGTGCTTAAGGAGGCACCTTTAATTCGCGTGACAATTCGCCGAGAAGGCGCCATCGCTCCTGCTGATTGGCACACCCCCCCCCCTCTCCCCGCTGGAGGGTGTGCAGTGGCATCGACCATGTGCCTCTCATGTAAACATGCGGGACTCGTGAACAACCACTGTGGCAACACTGCCGTTGTTCGTCAGCCAGGCGGTGGCGGCTATGCATGTGAACTGTGGCAAGGGTCGGTGGGGATCATCGCACACACGTCGCTGTGAAACTCTTTCCGAGGGCGTCGAGGAGGTGCCATATCCTGGCTCAACCAGCAGAAGGCAGCACAGCAAGTAGGACTGTTTCCATCTGTACGGAGATTGAGTGCTGCCCTAATTGGCGGGTGTGGGTTTTCTCCAGGTGCACCTGTTCCTCCCATATGTAAACATGCATTAACGGACTGAAAAACATTTAAAAAAAACAATACAGGACCCGCCTGAAAGAGTCCTACTGCTCAGCATGGCTCTCCTGGATAAATAAGTAATTCGTAACATTACTAAGTGTTCTTGCAAAAACCGTACACGCGGCACGGCAAATCCAGCACACGGCCTCACGGCGCAACTCTGCACAATGAGAAATTTGTGTCACACCGGCACCGAGCGAAGCAACATTCAGCAGTTCCACCGATGATTCGACGCTGTAAACCTTTTTCACTTCATTACAAGGCAGCACCGCATGCGAAATGCGTTTCGCGAAATGTCAGCATGCAGTACTTTCTGCACAGCGATACAATGCGATTACATTACAGAACACAACACAATAATGCACGAGTTCAAATAAACGTGCCACCACCACCTTTGTAACATCTTCAACACGGCCTCGTGGCGGACAAAAAGTCTTGTTCTTTAAAAGGACACTGCTCGTTCCGATGCGTTCTTGCCAAGTCACAAAAGTCACAGCAGGAGGAGACTCACTCTCAAGAAGGTCCTTTGCCCAAAACAACCGGCTGCTTTTAGCCAGTGATCATGATGAGCATGGCGAGTTGTTAAATGTTGACTTGCACGCTACCGCAAAGACAACTTCAACTTGAATTTTACACTTTGCGCATTGCGCGAGACAGTACGTATGGCTCGTGAACGCAGGCTTCAGCGACGGCTGGAGGCAAGTAGACTAAGTTGACTGGGCCACCGATTGAGAATGGCGAATAACAGCGATGCCCGCGAGAGTCCTGCAGGAGAAAGCAAGTGGATCAAAGCCGAGGAAAAGACCACCACACAAGGTGGACAGAAAGGATTGGTGACCCAGGAGATGAGGAATCGCCGTGGAGGGTGTGAATGACCAGCGGCGATATTGCAGAGTCCGTGTAGATTTGTATTGATTCCCACACCCGGATTAAGGATTCGGGGTAAACGGGAGAAATGTGTGTTTTGTATCAAGAAGTGTTGGGCTTCTACGTTATGCTGGGCCCCTTCTTCTGGGCGGTGACGTGGCTAGCAGCAGCCGATTAGCACCTGTCAGAGGTTCAGGGTTCAAATGCAGTAGTCTCACCGGATCAATACTGGAGAGATTACCCGCTTCATACAGTGAACATTCAAGATCCTGTGACGTCTTTCGCCAAGTGGCGGTCCGTAGCGTGCCGGGAAATGTACTCTATTTGAATAACAAAGCAAACACCGCCTCTCGACTGCCAAAACTTGGCAGGACCCTCTTGACAAAAGAGTCACGAGACTCAGCGAGGCTTTCCAGGGTAAATGAGCGCAACAATAATAATGATGACATCTCCACCCCCTACGTGCGGGATGTGGCCACCACCGAGGCTTAAAGCAGACGCACGGCGCTGATCCCAGCTTTGTCAACACCACGGGAAGCCGGTAGAATGCGCTCTGCTAGCAAGCAGAGCTCCACTGTAATGGGAGGACAGCACACGTCACGGATTCGCACGGTGCGAGAAAAGTTCATTTTACATCACACATCCACCCTCCCCATTACACAGAGGCAGAGCCAGAAGCAGCAGCGGCTGCCTCGCAGTAACATGCACTTTCGCCTAAACACCTCGAATAAAGGCGCATGGCGAATAAACAGCCGTGGAGGTAAACGGCAGCTTGTACTCCGTCAAACACGTCATCCCAAACGCATAGCTGTCAACCAGACTTCTTCACCCTATTCATTGCGGGTTGGTGAATGTGGGGATGAATGGCCATGGAGGCACAGCTGGTGCATCTGCCCATACTCGTCAATCCGTTATCAATTCCTACCTTCTAGATTTTAAGTTTTCGTGACTACAAGGATCCATACTCGTTGGTTTTTTCGGTAAAGTCACGAAGGTGAAAACAAAATAAAACAACTAAATGAAATCACGACGTTTCGGAAGCAACACAAGCATCCGTCATCAGGTGTTAATGTACGCTACAGTCATTTTGCTGGAGCAGTCACACCTGAGGACGGATGCTTGTGTTGCTTCCGAAACGTCGTGATTTAATTTAGTTCTTTTATTTTCATTTTATTGTTTTCACCTACGTGACATTACCGAAAAAAAGAGCATAATTCCTACCTTATTACAGACCAATTCAGACCTTATTGGTCACCCCGTACTCCTTATAAACATCAACGTTCATCCTATACACTACACTATACACTACACTATACACTACTATACATACCTGTCAAGCCTTTATCAGTGCCCTACCTTATTACAGACCAATTCAGACCTTATTGGTCACCCCGTACTCCTTATAAACATCAACGTTCATCCTATACACTACACTATACACTACACTATACACTACTATACATACCTGTCAAGCCTTTATCAGTGCCCTACCTTATTACAGACCAATTGTGACCTTATTGGTCACCCCGTACCCCTTATTAATCTCAACGTTCATCTCCTACAAAGTCCCATCACTAACGGTTGTACGCTGTATGGACCTGAAAACTAAACCGTATGGGTTGACAGGTATGCACACGTCTTATTATAATTATCGTTCATTATTGTTACCCTTGTTAACCCGGTGGAAGCCTCACCGACTCATTTTTAGGATGCTCACGCAAAGTTTTCACGATGATGCTAAGCATACTTCCATATTTGAGCTCATTTGGACCAAGAATCCGGAAACACATTGGCCTCCCATTGCTAATAACATCACGTGATCTTCAACATACTCTTAGTTCTTACGGTAAAGTCACGTAGGTAAAAAATGAAATTAAAATTAATAAAAAAAAAATCACGAAGTTTCGGAGGCAACACAAGCTTCCGTCTTCAGGTGAAACTGTCACAGCAAAAAATCTGTACAGATTTTCTGTACAGATTTTTTTTTTTACAGATTTTCTGTACAGATTTTTTGCTGTGACAGTTTCACCTGAAGACGGAAGCTTGTGTCGCCTCCGAAACTTCATGATTATTTTTTATTAATTTTAATTAAATTTTTTACCTACGTGACTTTACCGAAAGAACTAAGAGTATGAATCCTTGCAGTCACGAATGCTTCAAATCCAGAAGTGATCTTTAACGTCAAGTGTGATACAAGATGGCGTGGAGCAGTGTTATTACGGTTAATACGCTCACTGCGGCGTTAATTAGGGCGGCCCGGAGTTGAACCGTGAACCTCTGCATCAAGTGGGTGGCGGTGCTACCGCTAGACCATGTCCATCACCCGTTATTCATCACGATTCAATTCAAGGTTTTATCATCTCTCACCCTCTCAGAAATGTCTGGTTAAACACTGATGTGACAATGAACTATAATTAAAGGTGTAAATGGCAACAGTTTAAAGCTCAACACTGAACAAATCGCCCGATGATGCTTGATGTAATTACCAGCAAAACGTCATATTTAAATTGTGAATGTTGTTGACTTACTCTCCAACACAATGGTGGGCTGAAATAGTAACCAAGTGGCACGTTTTGTTTACACGACAAACCTTACTGGCTGTGTCGGGTGGTGGAGGGTTATACTTAGGCGACCCAACCCAAAAACCTTTATTATGAATATTGGTCGTGAAAGCCTACATGATAAACTGACTTAACAAACCGCACTGGCGTCAATGATCCTGGCATCGCATCCCAAGCAATGAGAAGGCTCCGACTTGCCAATAATATTTTTTTATCGCATCTCTGCCAGTAAAATAACGTTTCACTTAAACGTAGATATCAAATGACAGCAATAAAGAGTTATGTTGGAACTACTGGAGGCCTGTGGAATGTCATAAACCAAAATGATCCCCCTCCACAGCGAGAGCTTTAACCGCAAGAACTCATACAGGCGCACGCTGTCAAGTGCTGTCTGGCACTGGTGGCCTGTTTCAAATGGGCACCCGCCGACTGTTATCACGATCTACAGACAGCGCAGCAGCAGCGGCGGCGGCGGCATTTCCTTTGCAAGTTCACGACTCGTGACGGGACCCAACGCAATTTTCTAGAAAGCTCCCGCGGCGCACGTACAGCCCAAACCCGGCAACGTTGAAAATATTCCTTCGGGGAGATAGACAGCCGGTGTCGCATCACTCGAAAAAAATATTATTAAGAATGAGGAGCATCTAAGGCACCAGCTAAATAGAGAGAAAGAGACTACAGCGCCATCTTGTTCAAGGAGCACCTCATCCGAGCCGAAGACAAAACATGTACAAGGAGCTCGGCGACAAAGCTACGGCGCTCTTGGAAAGCCTCCGCCCACCCAACGATTTAAACAACGCAACGTGAATTCAAACAGAACCCACACATCTTTCGTGTAAACATCGGCCTCAATGGGATGGGCAGGACCAACGCCCATAAGCACTCGGGCACCAATTCCGGTTGTTAAAGACACCGGGACCAGTGACAAACGGACAGGCAAGGAAGATCTTCGAACAGATGAAGTGGTGGACAAGGCAATGCTTTGCTACAGGCAGTTTAGCAGTGTACAGCTGTAGTGAGGGGAAGGGAAAAACCCAGGCACAGGACATCACATGCTCAAACCCGCACCGGTGCAATACCAACACACAACCAACATAGACCCCTCCTCATGAAGGGCATTTGTTGAATTCCTTAAATTGAGGGGGAAAGCCGAACACTGGGAGACATCTGCCTAGGCTCTGCTCAAAATGTTGCTGTCAATGTATGTGTGCTTAACTTCTTTCGCACCGTACGTAGCCAACCGTTTTCACCGGAGGTACGGGTCAACTGACCGAGCTAAGACCATGAGTTTTACTCTGCCAAACATATGGGTGCCAAGGTGGGGCAAGTACTAAAACTTGCGCATTACAGCAAGAAGGACCTGTTTGAATCCTGACTCAAGTGTCATTCCGTGTGGAGTTTCTGTGTTCTCTTCCCGTTCCGCATGGGTCTCCGGTTTTTCCTCCCATAGCTTAAAAAAACAACAAATAATGCAACCGTGTTTGGCCAAAACATCCCAATGCTGAACAATTACCTGCCAGTCACTCAACAGGGATTACACATCGGCAACATCGACTCCTAGTGTGAAAAACCTTCGCAATGACCCTCCTGAAAAAGAGTCAGTGAGGCTTTTCTAAGCAACAGACTTAAATAAATGCACATAAATATGCTCCATTGAATATCATCTTAGCTGGATGACCGACCTACCAGCAACCTGACATTCAAAATCCTGACGTGAAATCATTGCGTAGAGACAACACTGTGGAAGGCCCCAACTGACATGCCGCACTTCATATTGTCAACTGGAACCCAGAAATCAAACATCAGCTCCTATCTTGTAGATATGTAGCTATGCGGTGTCCCAGTCCGTCCAACACAAGTGTTTAGCTTGATTCATGATAAAATAGGCTTGAAAGCTCGGTCAAATGTATCATTATGGCACTCTAGAATGTAACAGCAGTTTTGTCACCGAGAGCGAGCTCTTAAAATGCATAAGGGACAGCACGCAATGCGCAGCCTAGGTGTACAAATACAGATTCTTATTCTGAGATGTATTTACCGCGGTGTATGGCATCTTTTTGATCCATGCGATGGATCACAGCCACAGTCTCGCACAAGAACCGTCTCACCAGGCCACGACCGCCGACGCGGCAAGCGCCCTCGGCGAGCACCTACTACTAACGCCGGCGTGGCGCACGAGTGCGACCGAACCCTTGGTCTCTCCTTGCGCCGGTGCCTGGGCACAAACCGCGGCAGGTAGCTGCCGATTTTGGAAGCCCCGTGGATGCGCGCGCGGCGAGTTCTGCGCGGTGTATGGAGCTGGCGTCCGTGGGAGCTGTGCTTGCGCCACTTACCTGCGAGAGCACGAGGCCACGAGAGCACGGGGGGCGTGCGACGGGGAGGAATGCTCCTTTGCTGGCTGACGCTGCCAGCCAACCTAAAGAAATTCTCTCAACAACTGCAGAGAAGAGATAAACACGACACCGTCAGCAGCAGGGCCGCCACCCGCACGGCGCTGTGCGCCAAAACCGGCAGCGCCGAAAGCCAGAGATTAAAAAGAGAATCGACACAGCTGTTACGCGAACCCACTGCCCCGCCACTCAGCGTTTACAAATCACACATGGCGACCCAGAACAAACCCCTCCGTGGCTCAGCGGAGATGCGAGAAAATGACAAAAATAAAATGCTGCCACACGGCCGTGCGGTGCCAAACTCGAACCTGGATAACAGTCTACATGGCGCCAAGTGGCGCGGCGCACGGAGAACGGTTGACAGATTAGGCCACATTGACTGCACACGCGCGCACATCGGTTTACGTCCCAAGGTCAGCGCCAAGGGGCGACGTGGACACAGCACGCACGACCGCCCGCAAGGGCGCGAGCCCCAGCCTTCGCGAGCACCACGGCCTACTCGAGCGAGCGAGCAATGTCGCCCACCACTGCCCACCACTCTCACTACCCCCCCACCCCTGTCGCTTTGGTACCAAGCGCAGCAGCGTCTCTGCCTCTCTGCCCTATGGCTTCCAAGTGTGAGTGGGGCGCCCAGAACACCTCAACAAGAACCTACGCGACATCGCACAATCAACGCAAAGTAATGGTCGGGAAAAACAAGGGCAATCATCGGCAGTCACATCGCAGCAATTTCTTCACTTGGTTCACCATGAGGGAGCTAATTTGTTGTTGAATACACCGCGCTTCAAACCAACCTGCTCTTCCACACACATCATCATTATAATAACGGCAATAATGCCCCCGAGTTCATCATTGGCCAGGTCGCTCGGAGGCAGAGCGAGCGGCTCGCAACTGAAAGGTTGCGCGTTCATATCCTGTTTGGGTCGGCGGGGGGGGAAAGTGACTTGGTCCATCACCCCTCCGGGGTAGTAAAAATAGGTACCACTTGGAGAGGAATAGAATAGCCCCCGCCATAAGAATGTGGAATTTCTGCCACGGGTTAAGGGCTGTAAATGAGAATTAAGCATTGACTTTACCGAAAGAACCTAGAATATGAATCCCTGCAGTCACAAAAGCTTTAAATCGAAATTTACTATCATCACGATTTAATGTTTTGAATCCACTACACGTGGTGTCATTACATCTCTGCAAATCCTCACTGACTATCAACAATATCTTGTACAAGACGGCCCCTGCATCGTTTGGTTTTGACGCATTGTGTTCACGAGCAGTGTGGCTTTGCGCGGGGCAGAAACTGGAGAAGTTGGAAAAAATCCACACGCGAGGGGGATGGCGACGGTCAACGCTCGCCACAGACCGCCCGAAAGCCCACGCGGTTCAGCAGGGACCAAGGTTCTTAGAGCTGAAGGACAGCATTTGTGAACACAGGACGAGCAAAATGTAGACACAGCAAGCCCGAGCGCCAGGAAATATGGAATCACGCTGGCCACTCTACGCAGGTGTAGGGGTTATTACGGGAGAAACGGCGGACAACAAACACAGGGCTGTCGGCACTCACATACACGGGGGGTCACACCGACGTCCGCATCAGTTATTGCCCACGCCCCCAGCCCTCGGAGGCGATCCCTATAAAAGGTGGAACCCAAAGAGCTCGAGGCAGTTCGACACGAAGCTGACCAGTGAAGATCCAAGACTCGGAGATTAGGCCCTGGGACTCCCCGGTCTCGCCGTCCTTATAAGGGCCGAGCCGGGTAAGCCAGTGGCGCGGCCCAAGAGCTTCCAGACCGCTGCCCTTATCAGGGCAAGGCTGGTTAGCTGGTGCCGAGATCTGTGCTTGCCAGGGCCAGATCAGTCAGCCTCCCGTAGCCCAGTAGAGGAGGACTGGGGGACAGGACAGAGGGCTTAGTACTAGGGTGGGTTTCCCATAGTACGGGTGAAGGGGCCGATACCCCTTCAACTATTGTATCTGTCCCGGAGTTAATAAACAGTGTGTCTCAACTTCCTCATCGTCTCCTCATCAACTTACTACATCTGGTGTTGGAAGTGGGCCAAGCATGGATACGAGACGGAAGACTCGTGCCCAAGACCCAGGAGAGGATGACGACGAGGGAGGGGCAGTGCAAGACATCGCCGCCGACGTACCTGCACAACTGCTGCCGGCTCCGACATCGGCGGGGCCGTCGGAGAGGGCCGGGACGTCGACTGACGAGTTGGCGTTGGCTCACTCGCGGCTGGCGGAGCTCTTGTATGCAGCGGCCGCTATGCTGGAACAAATAACTCGCCTGGGGCCGGGAGGAGCGACGCGGCGGGAAGATGGACAACGCCCGCCAGAAACTCCCGCCTTTACAACAGCGGGGCGACTCGAAAATCCCGCCACGAAGACAGTAGGGGCGGAGGGAGGAGTCCCAGCTCGTCACGCGGGAGACGGTGCCCAGCCAGCAGCCGCCACGTCATCGGCGGAGGCGGGTCGCGGTGGCAGCCTATCAGGGGTTGAAACGTCACCACCAGCTGACGCCAGCACCGACCATACAGTACGGGGACGCGCTACGGATGCTGCAAGAGACGCTCCAAGAGGATCGGAGACGGAGCCGACATTCCAGCAACGCCTGCCGGCCCTACAGGTATTTGTTGCAAGCGACGGCGATTGGGGGGGGTTCCAGCGCCGGTTCTTGGCCCACCAAGAGATGGCAGGCTGGTCGGACAACGAGGCGCTGTGTGCTCTCCCGGCGTTATTGGACGGCGACGCCCTGGGCACCCTCACTGCTGCACCCAAGTCGGCACGCTCCACCATTCAGTCGGCGCTGCAGCTGCTGGCCACCGTTTATGGGCCGCCCTCCGATTGTCGCCAGCTCTTCTATGAACGGCAGAAGGGTGATAAGGAATCGCCACTCGCTTATCGCACGGCCCTGCTGTCATTGGCGAAAGACGCTTTCCCGCGTATGGATGAAGAGGGGATCGATGCGATGGTGGCCGAGAAAATTTTGCTGCTGGCTGACGATCTGGACTTCACCATCTTAGCGCAGGACGATGCGGATATGTCATCACTGCGGGCTGCAAGGCACATTCACGCCAATCTCATCTCCCAGCGGAGGAAGGCGAACAAAGCTGCTGCACGACACACCGTGGCGGCAACCTCTTCTGGAATGGAGGGAGCCTTCGCTGCGGATCGTTCTGCAGGATGGCGATCTGCCGAGCGACCGGCTCGGGACGTTCCAAGCCACCGAGACCAGCCCAAGTCCTCTGGAACGCTCGTCGTCTGCTATAATTGTGGCCTCCGGGGCCACGTGGCGTCCGGATGCCGGGCTCCTCGACAGCGCGGTGCGAGACCTGGAGCTGCGGACGGCCCTCCTCACAAGCCTTCGCAACATCCTCGGGCAAGTCATGGCACCCCACATGTTCGGCCTGCACACACACCCACTTTCCTATCACATGGTCCGATACACAATTCTCGGGGGTTGGGTGCTGGTGCGTCGGGTCGCGGCATGTCGGGGAGGGCGCTCCAACCGGGCCAATGGTCCGAGTTGGCTCACCGAGTTGTGGCTGCATCAGCGGGGTCGTCCGTTGTCGCGGGGCATATTGACGGGGTGGAGGTACGGCTATTGGTCGATACGGGAGCTTCGGCAACTATCATTTCAGATTTGATTTATAATATCCTGCCCGTTCAGAGTCGCCCGTTGCTCCCTGTCGATATACCGTTTTACGCTGCGAATGGGGGCTCGTTGGGTATTATCGGTCAAATTCGAGCGCAAATTTCGATAGGGGACATTAAACTATCTGGCCCGGTGTTCGTCTCCTCCTCGCTGGCTATTCCGTGCCTGTTGGGGACAGACTTTTTGGCCAAATTGCCCATCAAAATTCTGATTGACCAGCAATGCATCGAGCTTCCATCGGGCCGACGTATGACGTTCCTACCTGCCACCCCTGCCGTGCGTGTTGCCTGTGCTACGGTACAGGCGCTTGTTGCTCGGACGGTGCGTGTACCCCCGGGGGCACAGATGTTGGTACCCCTGCGCTTGCGTCGACCGTTCGATAAAGGAGTCTCTGACCGGGGCGTTATTTTGGGACCATCTAGAGCCGGGGTGAGTGGGCCAGATCTGGTGACGGCCCAGACTATTGTTAAAGGGGATGGGGACCCGTTTATCGCGGTCCTCAATGTCGGGACACGGACGGCAGTGGTTTCGCAAGGTACCGTGTTCGCACATGCGGTTCCGGTACCTGCGGAAACGCCGATCATTGGCCAGGTGGCCACCGATTCTCAAACGCGATTAGCCTCAGACGCTGACGAGGTTTGGCTGGATGCGTTGTGTGCTGAGTCACCTGACCTGTCTGACGCACAACGTGCTAGATTACGCGCCTTATTGCGAGAATTTTCCGACGTCTTCAGTAAACACAAATACGATATCGGATGTACCAAATTGCTACGCCACCATATTGACACCGGTGACAACGCTCCTATCCGCCAAAATCCTTTTCGGTTAAGCCCCGCCGAAAAGGATCATGTCAAATCGGCTGTAGATGACATGTTGAAATCGGACATCATTTCTCCCTCGACCAGCCCTTGGGGTGCACCCATAGTGTTGGTCAAAAAGCACGACGGGTCCCTAAGGTTCTGCGTTGATTTCCGGCGATTAAATAAGATCTCGGTGGCCGATGCTTATCCGCTTCCTCGAATGGACGAATCGCTGGATGCCCTCGCGGGATCGCGATTCTTTTCCACTTTGGATTTGCTCTCAGGATTTTGGCAACTTCCCTTGGACGACGAATCCAGGCCCAAAACAGCTTTCCGAACGCCGCACGGCCTCTTCCAATTCAATCGCTTACCCATGGGATTACACTCTGCTCCCGCGACGTTCCAGCGCCTGATGGAATTGGTCCTCGCTGGCTTGCAATGGGAGGTGTGTTTGATTTACCTGGATGACGTTATCGTATTCAGTAAGACGTTCGAGGAACACCTTGATAGGCTTCGGGCCGTCTTTCTCAAAATGCGCGCTGCTAATTTGAAATTCAAGCCACAAAAGTGCCATTTGCTGCGCGAATCTGTTAAATATTTGGGTCACATCGTCGGCCGGTCAGGTATCTCAACCGATCCCGCCAAAACGCGTTGTGTCAGCTCCTGGCCTATTCCCACCTCGGTGGGGGAGGTTAGAAGCTTCATCGGCTTTGCTTCATATTACCGCCGGTTTGTTGCGGACTTTGCTTCCATCGCTAAGCCACTACATGCCTTGACGTCAAAAGGGGTCAAATTTCATTGGGGGCCGGTGGAGAACGCCGCTTTTGTCTCTCTTCGGGATGCCCTGGTGGGGGCCCCGCCGTTAAGCTACCCCGATTTTTCCATGCCGTTCGTGCTCGACACGGACGCAAGCAATACCGGGATTGGAGGCGTGCTGTCACAAATTGTGGGTGGCGTGGAGCGCGTTGTGGCTTATGGTAGTAGAGTACTGTCCCCGGCCGAGCAGCGGTACTGCGTCACCCGCCGCGAACTGTTGGCTATCGT